ATGATGTACAACAGATGCTCTCGGGACTTCCAGAGGTGGGCCAGCGACGACGGCCTGCCGTTGAACAGGAGCTTGGACATCAGCACAGCGATGTTGGAGTACCTGGAGGAGCTCCACTTCCAGGGCCACAACCGCGACTCGGGCGAGAAGGTGATAGCCGCTCTGGAGTGCCAGGGTCCAGGCCTCCGCAGTTCGGAGACGTTGGAGAGGGCCAAGCAATCCTTGATGGGCTACAGACGTCTGGCGCCGGGGCCCAGCAGAGCCCCGATGCCGTGGATAGGGCGGTGTGCGATGGTGGGGGCAACCCTGCGCATCAGCGAGTTCGAGTTCGCGCAGTGCCTCATCTTTCTCTTTCGGACCTACTTGCGGCCGAGAGAGTGCCTGGGACTTCGGGGTCATCAGCTGATACCTTCTATGGCGGGGTCGGGTGCGAAGTTCAGGGCGCTCTTGCTGGCGCCCGAGTAAGGGGCCGTGCCGACCAAGACGGAGGAGTTCGACTGGAGCCTCCTGCTAGACAGCATCGAACTCACTTACTTGTACCCGCGTTTCATCACTCTGAAGAAGCGCGCCAACCACGACATGGCGTGGTCCTTCGCCTATCGGAAGTTCTCGAGCCTCTTCGAGAGGACAGCCGAGGTGGCTGGCCTGGTCCAGGCCAACTTGCAAATTGACATGATGAGGCACGGTGGTGTCCGCGACGACGCCGCCCGTCAGGCGCGGTCGTTGGGGGCCATCAAGCGGCGCGGCCGCTGGGCTGCAGACGCCTCGGTGAAGCGGTGCGAGAAGCACGCCAGAGTGTTGAGGTCATTGGAGTGTGCCCGAGGTGGTCCGCGACTACGGCAACCAGATCGACGCGGGTCTGAGCCGGTTGATCAGCCTCCAAGCCCGAGTTCCATTGCCACCAGGGGCCAAAGGCAAGAGGCCACCAGCAGGAAAGTAAGCAGACCTTTTCATCATTGCCATGGGGGCCACAATGCGGGTTTAGACACTTTTTTGCCTGCTCATATCATTTGAGCAAAGTTTCGGATATTACTTCGTCAGTCGGTGCAACGCAGCCATGATCATAAAGTTTATCCTGGCTTGGTCTCAGGCTCGGGCACTATCGCAGCAGGGCTTGCGTCATTGGGGCAGAGTTGCATCAGCTTCTCTTCGTTAAACGGGCTGGAGTTCGATCTAGCAAATCCCGGTGTCGTTGCCGTCGTCGTCGGCCGGATCCAGGCCAGCGTAGTGAAGGGCGTGTTTGCGGCCTTCCCGTGCCAGCCCTTTTCAGACAAATCCGACGATCATGGTGCCCTTGCGGCTTGCCCGAACCGACCCCTGCCGTCGGCCGAAGCGATTCGCCGCGCAACTGATAACATAGCGCTGATGGCCACCAGGGGGCTCGCCAGGGCTTGCAGCGAGCAGAAGACCCCGATGCTCCTTGAGTGCCCTCGCGCGTCAAAAGCGTGGCGTGAGCCTCCTATGGAGGCCTTGATGGGCCACCCTTCTTGCGGGCAGCTTGCTCTAGATCAGTGTGCTTTCGGGGCGCGCTGGCGCAAACCAATTACATTTGTAGGCTGGAACGCCCTGGTGCTCCGGCAAGAGAGCGTCCTCAGGCCACGGTTGTTGCAGTTTTCAGTCTCAGACCTTGCGTCATTCTGTGTGGGGAGGTCGCCGGTGGCAGCGTCAACCTAACCGCCATCGCGGCATGCTACCCCGAGAGGTTTCCACAGGGATCGTCTTGTGGCTTCTGATGGGGCTCGTTTATTTTGATTAGTAGGGTGAGGTTGCACCTCGGGCGGCTCCAAAGCACAGTGTGGGTCTGGGAACTGCCGTGTCGTTTCAGGCCCGTTTCGGCGTAGCTTGTGCTCCCGTGGCTGCCGCCCCGGGTCAGTGTGCACTCGTGCTGTGCATTTTTCTCACCATGCATGTTGATCAGACAGACATTGAAAAAAACAGATGCGACAAGGTTCGACACCGTTGAGGCTGACGCCTGTTTCCGCCTGGCCTTGGAGGGGGAGATGCCACAGTTCTCAGAGCGTCTTTCTCTTTCCGTGTTGGCCGCAATGTTCATGCTCGAGTCTTTCCACCCGCCGTCCCCTCCTTTCACCGGCGAGGTTGAGGGAATTGCTGCGTCGTTTCAGGGCCGTTTAGGCTTAGCTTGTGCTCCCGTGGCTGCCGCCCAGGGTCAGTGTGCACACGTGCTGCGAAGCTTTCTCACCATGCGTGTTGTTCAGACAGAGATTGAACAACATATGCGACAAGGTTCGACATCATTGAGGCTGACGCCTGTTTCCGTCTGGCCTTGGAGGGAGAGAGATAATGGGTTTCGGTTTATCCCGCCACCGTGCTTTGGTTGTTGGTATGAAGCCTAGTTGCTGTTCGCTCGGATCTCGTGGGGGGCCTCTCGGGAGTCTTTCGGAGCTAGTTTGCAGGCCTAAGTCCTCTTGGAGATTCTTTTGAGTTTCTTTGGGGCCTCTTCGGGAGCCTTTTGGGGCCTCCTGGGTGCCTTTTGGGGCCTCCTGGGAGCCTGGGGACTTCATGTGGCGGAAAGCTAGGATTTTCAGTTCGGGTTCCCTCTCTTGGGCTTCTTTGGGGGCCGTCTTGGGGCCCTGTTGCGCCGTCTTCGGCACCCTTTGGGCCATCTTGGGGCGCTCATAAGCCGTCCTGGGTCCCTCTTGGAAGCCTCCTAGGGCGTTTTGGGGTGGTTATGGGGGCTTCCTAGGCCGCCGTGGCACAAAGGAAGAACGGCGAAAACGCCAGAATCCTTCGACAACTTGGGGGGCCTCTTGGATGCCTCTTGGGGCGTCTTGGAGTCCTCTTGGGCCGTCTGGGGGCCATATTGGGCGTCTTGGGCCGCTCCGGCGACTCGGGGCCCTCCTGGGCCCTCTTCGCGGCCTCTTGGGGCCCTCTTGGCCCATCTTGGGGCCTTATTGAATCGAACAAATCACGCGGCACCCCTTGGTGCAGCCCAGGGGGCACGCGGGAAGCCCCTATATTAATTTTGTATTCAGGCGTTGAATGTATGGCTCGGCAGAACGCGTTTCGCATAAACGTTAAACATGATTTCGGTGCGCGGGGCATCGTTGGCGGCGGGGCTCTTGGTTGCTCTGTTGGGCCGGAGACGAAGGGACGCCATGTTTTCGGGATGTCTTGCCTTTTCGATTGGCATCACCCAAACATCCGCGTCGGTCGTTGAAAGCAGGTTCTTTTGGTTTCCAATATATTAATATTCTTTAGGTGCCTCCCTTCAAGGGCAGACTGGTTTCCCTCTTCCCTCCTCTTCAGGGGGCCAGCGGAGATCCAACCTACTTCCGACGCCTTCCTACTTTATGTTCTACGTGCTTCTTCCGAGTTCAATGCGTGCCGTGGCCCCCAAAAGGGGCGACGAACGCGCGCTGAGAAATCTTATTGTATATATGCTCGGCGGCGGGCGCCTTCTGGCCTGACCGCTTGAGCAACGATATGCCGTACGGTCGAACCGAGGTAGAAGGTCGAGGTTTATTGTTTCCTGGGAGGGTACCCTACTGTTCTTCGTGCTTGTTGGATGTTCTTGTGCATTCTTGGGAGGATACCCTTGGAAGTTCTGTGTTTTGACCGGACCAGGGCCTAATGTTCTTGAAGGATGTTCTTTTGTCCCAGGTCCGACTGTAAGATGCTTGCACTACATGTTCGGTTTGGACTTGTGCCTCAAGGGACGGCTTATAGGATCAATATGTCCAACTGAGTCTCATTATTATTTGGATGCAGCTCCTTGGGGATCAAGTTCAGTACTGGCGCTTGTGTATCCGTTGCCGAAAACCGACCCGATCCGGCATAGTCCTGATCAGTTCTGCTTCATCCAGCCTAATCCCAGCTAGTTCGACATATTCCTGGGCTTTGTTTGGGCTGGCCGGGCTTCGTGGCCCCTGCATCGGGATTACCAGTCCATGATGGTGCTCACTCGTAACTTGTCCAGCTGCCAGGCCCCCTCGTCGGCGCATAGTGCCAGCATGCCGTTCTGCGTCCCATTCTACTCTCCCCTCGGCCGCCCGGCACCACTGGCTCCTCACGCCGCGGCGCGCCCGCGGCGCGGCGCGGTGGCGCGGCTGGAGCCAGTGGGAGCAGGCATGCCCTGGTCACTCCCAGGGGCGCGAACATAATCGCTCCGCGCATCGCGGCCTGGTCTAAAGCGGCTGTCCTTCTCCAGGGTGGCGCCGTGAGGGCGCGAGGGCACCAGGGATCACCGCGCGGTGCGCATCGCGGGGAGCGACGCGCGAAGCTAGGTGACTCAGGCTATGATGCTCACCGAGCGTGTTCCACTACTCGCAAAGTGCCTACGCGCAAACGTCGCCTCGTTGTGATGGATCGTAAATCCCCCGCGGCGGATCCAGGCCGTGAGCGAGTAGTGGGACGCGCTTGTCTATATACGAGACAGACGCACTCTTCTCCCCTCGGTCGCGGGGCACCACTGGCTCCAGACCCTTGCGGACCGCGCCCGCGGCGCGGCGCGCGGGGGCGCGGCGCGCGGGGGCGCGTCGCGATGGAGGCGCCGGCGCCGCGGCTCCAGCCGAGCGCGGGAATCCGCGCGGCCTGGTCCGGCGCGGCGGGCAGGCATCCCCTATCGGAACCGGGCCAGACGTCAGGGCAGCCAGGCTCGGGTGGTCTTTCAGGGGCAACGTTGCACACTGGTCGTTGAAAGTAGGTATTTTCGGATGTTCGGATTCCAGTTTACTTCAAGCGCCTTCCTATTTCAAGAGTCGATATGCTTCTGCTGTGATTTCTTATTCTCTGGGAGGGCCTGCACCCAATCTACTTAATCCGCCTTCCTACTTCATGTTTTTACCTACTTCTTCCGACCGACGTGTAGGGGGGAATAGGCTCTAGGGGGGATCCATGGACCTCCAATCGCCCATTGGTCGCCGATCTGTCCACCATGTATAGCCGATTCCAGCTCGATGTCTCCCCCCTGCGCCAGTCCCCCTTTAGTTACCTTTTCCCCTCATAGGATGCAATTCCCCATGTGGCGGTAGCCTCCTCTCCAAAATGGTTTTGTTGGCTTGGGCCACAACACGACACGAACATCACTCTCGCAGCTGAACCTATTAGTCGAAAAGTGGCATGCTGCTACATGCCCTAGACTTTCTCCTAGGTTCAGCACCCCTAGCAAGGAGAAATGGCAAAACTATTGTCGGGGCCTCTGCCCGACCAAATTCTCGTAAACCCGGCCTGCCAGCGGGGATCTACAATAGGCTTTGCCTATTGATACAGCTGCTCCCCTGTCTCCATGCTGGCCGGCCGGAGCAAACAAGGGGAGGTGAAAACAGGAAGGGAGGGAGAGACGAGGAGAGACACCAAACCACCACCACCACCACCACCGAGTGAGGATCAGGGTCCAGTGCTTCTCGAGCTCTCTTTGTCCCAGGTGACGTTGGCAACCTCACGATCCAGGATCTTCCAGGAGGCAGCTTGGGAGCGGTTTTTGAGTCCTGGGTCCTCCTTCCTTTTCTCCACCTCGCTCCCCTCATCCACCAAGATAAGACGTCTACTGGTCATAAGATCAAACAACGCGACGTTACACTTAGCTATATCCTCTTTTGTAAGGGCATCTACTGGAATACGATTGTGGGGAACCCAGCGTACCTTGCCGGAGGCCTGTTCGAGGGCTTCTGATATGATTGCCAAACTGATAGCGGTGCGACGGTCTTTTGCCGACGCATTCCCTTCTTTCAACATCGTATCGTAAATCGACTTGGCGTCCACGACATGAATCTGTCCCTCTCGGGCCCCCAGGCGACAATCGCGACGCAAAACTGTCGTGAATGGACCAGAACACC